TCAAATCTCTCCTTTGCATGAAAAGGGTAATTTGTGAACCAGAACTATCTCCCAGCTATTGTAAGAATTCCTATATACATCATCCTGAGCTCCTTGAAGAAAGGGTATGATAAGAGTTTAATGGAAATGTTCCCTGGTGTAATAACTCAAAAATTATTTCACTGTTGCTAATATAAAAGTGTCCAGAAAAAGAAAGAAAACAGTATAACTCCACAGCATCACAGATACAGATTGTACGCTTTGGGTCAGATCTTATTTCAAGTACTATGTTCTGGGGCAATTCAGATTAACTAGAATAGATGTTAAAAAGAAGGCAGTGAAGAAGCTCTGGGGACTAGAAACTAAGTCTTAAAAAGAGAGCGTGAGATAATGTGAGCAGAAGAGGGAAGCATTCTTCAAATATCTGAAGAGTTGTTGCATAGAAGATCAAGATATGTTCCTTGTCGCACAGAAGATGACCAAGATAGTTCCCTCTTGTCCCAGAGTGCAGGACACACAATAATGGTCTTAAATTACAAGAAGTCAAATTCTGGTTGTATTTTAGGAAAAATCTTCTACTTTAACTTTTGGCATAAACAGTTTCAATGACCCCTTTCACTTCTATCATTCTATGAACTCCAATCCACCTGCTGTGGAATATTTTGTACATATAAAACAGATGACCTACTGGTTGTGAACAGAATCTGTGTTTACCAGTCTTTTCTTCTCAACATTACAAGACACTCTGTATTTTCCAGGTAGGTGGCTGCAGTTCAATCCTATCCATCTCTAGGTAAGTATGAAGTAGAGTAGATTTGTATTTCTATCTGAAGGTACCTAAAAATCAAAGGCAGGCCATCTTTGAGGGTTAGAAGATACATCTGGAATTGTGACAGCACACTGCTGAGATTTACAAAAATACTTGTCATAGAAGTTTATCTATTTACCAAAAGTTTGGCATGGTGAGCCGGCACAGAATAGGACAACCTGGTAAGATCTTTTCAAGTCATCCCTTCGTCCTCCAAAATCTTGTTTTTCTTTTTTTCTGGGTCAGGTGGGTATACTTCCAAACAGAGCATGAAGATGCATCACTTCCATTTTTCTAAGCATTGACTGCCTCTGGAGGCAATGATAGGTTCAAAATAATTCTTGGAGACATTTCTTTTTTTTAACTCTACAATGCCTGCTTCCATTTGCTGATTCTGGTTGGCTTGCAATGTCTATAATTTGACTTAAATTCACTATAACAATTGCAATCAATAGAACCAGATGCAGAAAAAACTGTTAACTAAATTGATTACGTGCCATCAAGTTGTTTTTGACTCCTAGCAACCACATAGATAGATTTTCTCCATGACGATATGTCCCTAACCTGGTCTTTCAGGTTTTTCAACAGTGCACTCATCACCACTGTAACTGAGTCCATCCACCTTGCTGCTGGTCGTCCTCTTCTTCTCTTTCCTTCCACCTTTCCCAGCGTTATAGCCTTCTCTAGAGAGATAGGTCTTCACATAATGTGTCCAAAGTAGGATAATTTGAGCCTGGTCATGTGTGCCTCAAGTGAGAACTCGAATTGATTTGTTCAATGATCCATTTAATTGCTTTCTTGGCTGTCCATGGTATTCTCAGGAGTCTTCTCCAACACCAAAGTTCGAAAGCTTCAATACTCCTCCTATCCTGCTTCTTCAAAGTCCAACTTTCATTCCATAGAGTGTCACAGGGAATACCATGGCTTGCACTATTCTGATCTTTGTACATATGGATAGAAAGGTACATGTTAAACATTCCCCAACTTTAACAAGGAGGAGGCTGGCTTCAAATCCAGCAGGAAGTTTCTCAGTTTTGGCACAGTTACAAGAAATATCATTAACAATTTATGCAAAGGGTGTTCTCCTGAAGATCTAAGACTGTGGAATGTATTGCGTGGGAGTAGGTGGTCTGGCAAGCAGTTTGAGCCCAAGTAACATAGGGCTTGATATACAATAGTGAGCATCTTGAAGCGATCCCACAAAGCAGCAAGTTATCAGCACAGCTCGTTCAATGTGAAGATGATGTGACATTTGGCAGTCACACTGTTGTATTCTGAATCAGGTGCTCAGCTTGAAGGCCTGCATTTTGAAAGGAGACTTCACAAACATGTCTACAATGTTTTCTTGTTGACTTCTAGAATTTATTTATTTATTTATTGGTTTCCCAGTCTAGCCTACAGCCCGAATATTCCCTGGAAGTTCCCCAACCAAATACAGGTAGTCCTCGACTTACAACCACAATTGGGACCGAAACTTCCATTGCTAAGCAATGTGGTCATTAAGTGAGTCGCACCTGATTTTATGACTTTTGCCATGGTTGTTAAGCAAATCACCATGGTCATTAAGCAAATCACATGCTTGTTAAGCAAGTCCGGCTTACCCCATTGATTTTGCTTGTCGGAAGCCCCCGGGAAGGTTGCAAATGATGATCACATGAGCCCAGGATGCTGCAACCATTGTAAATACATACCAGTTGCCAAGCTCCTGAATGTTGATCACGTGACTGCGGGGATGCTGCGACAGTCATAAGTGCAAGGACTGGTCACAAGTCACTTTTTCAGTGCCATCGTAACTTTGAACAGTCATTAAATGAATGGCTGTAAGTCAAGGACTACTTGTATTATCATATTGAACAGCTGAGCCCAAGCTCAGACTATGTATTGCCACCTGCTGAGTGACTCATTATATCTCCTAATTACATCACAAAGAATGCGTTGCAATAATCCAACTTTGCACTGCCAGCACATGGATCACCAACCCCAGTTCTCCCTCTCCTTCAAGAATGGGTGCACCTGGTTTATCAGTTGAACCTGATAAAAGCCACCACCACCCCACCTTCCACCAATGATGTAATGGAGCTGCCTAGCATCAATGTTGGCCCTAAGAGAAGTTGCAAGCTGCAAGGCTGATTTCTAAGGGGAAATATAACCATGTCCAGATCAAGAATAATGCTAGAAACTGAAATTCTTATTTGCAACAAGCCAGTTTTCCCTGTTTCCCCTTTTCAAAATTAAACAAATCTAAAAGAACTGTAGGATAGGAAAGGCAAGGAGTCTACTGGATATCCAAGGAGGTGTTCTTGGACATTCTCTGCTCTACATGTCCTATTCTTGATGACAGCCATGTTCATTAATTTTCTGACTCAAGCCCAGTTCCCAGTAGAAAAGGCAAGAACACACATGCCTCACAGACTTCTTTCAAAGTTGTCACCATTCCTGCAAGGTGAGCAAAAAAGTATGTGCTCCCCCTCATTATCTTTTTTTCATTTTCTAAGACTTGTAGGACAAAACTCATAAGATGAATGGTCAAAGTGTTGCTATCTTGAAACACCAGGCATATTTGGATCGGCTTCAAGCGAGGGAAATGGGCATACCTTGAACATCTGCACTAATGTCGTAACATTCATTGACCTGGTTCACACAAACACATCTAACTGGGTCAAAGAGGGGGATGAGTTCATCAGTTGCAGACCAGCAACTCTGAAAAGTAGTTGAGAAAGGATAGTTTTAGCCCCAGACAGCCCTGGAATTCTTTAAGGTTGTGACACCATAGGCATGATGAAAGATATCACAACCCCAACGTTGTGATGCATGCGACATCATTGTCACTAGTTCCAGACACCTGCGGCTTTGCTGTGGCTTTGCTGGAAAGTTCACCACAACCCCACCCAAAAAGAGCTGCTAGGTGTTTTGAACACTCACCCAAAAAAAACTTCTAGTAACTTTTTCAGTTAGATATATCCGCACCTTGCATTTCCCACTTTGAGTCTAAAGGAAAAATACTGTTTAGTATGTGGATATCCTTGATGGTCATTTTGTTTCCTATCTTATTCCATCTTTGAAAACGCTGACAAAAAATAAGTCTATTGGACTGTGAACTGTGTATTTATTTATTTATTTATTTATTTGGATAGCTGACGAAAGCTGGTTTTATCAACCATCCTAATGCGATTCAAGGGAAAAAAAACATGTGCTCAGAAAGCCCCTGCCTTCTTCTGAGAAGCTTGTTCAACTTCCCAGCCTGTTTTCAAATTTACCGTGTCCATTATTTGTTTCAGGAAAACAAGGCCAGAAAAGTGTCAACAGAAAAAATGACAGACCAGTAATCAGTAGACCAATATTATTATTCCTGCTAAGGCAGCGTGGTGTAGTGGTGAAGGGGATTAGGAAAATGGGGAGAGCCAGGACAGAGTCCACCTCACTGGGGGCTTTGGGCCAATCGCTATCTCTCTCAGCCCAGCCTACCTTCCAAGGTTGGCTGAGGTGAAAAATGGGAAGGGAGCGTTCTGTATCCCATCCCATCCTATGTTCCTGAGGAAAGGTGGAATATGAAGCCCACAAATGAATAATAAATACCAGCAGCCATTCAGAAAACCCGGTCCGTCCAAGAACCATTTTGAAGAATCTTCAGGCAGCCTCTTAAAACCAGTGTGTGTGTAACTACGGCCATTCAAAACAATCAAAGCCCAACATGCACCCAGTTTGCGCACCGCATCTCCAGAATCGCAGAATCTCCTGCAAGTCCCGGCCCACTGTGGTTGCTTTATGGATCACTGCGTCGTGTGAACCCGGCCCACGGGGCCCGTTCAACAAAGACTCTTTCAGCAAACCATGGTTTACCGTCCTGCGCAACCCCAGCCGCGCGACAGCCCCCTGGAACCGCTCTGCGTGCTGCAAACCGCCTTCCCCGAGCCAGGGCAAGCCCATGTCAGACTCCAGCTCCCATCACTCCGAGCCAGCACGACTAGGGGTGAAAGGAATCGTCGACCGATGTACCTGGCGAGCGCCAGCTTGGGGAAGGCAGCTCGAGGAGGCAAGTCTCTTCCAGGACGTCGGAAAAGCCGCCGGGGGCGCAGGGATCAGATCGCTCGCTCGGGGCCAAGGCGAAGCGGCAGGAGACCCGAGTTTGCACGTGGGGAAGCGGGTTATCCTCCCCCGCCAGGGGTCCCCATCGCCCCCTCCTCCATCGCTCGGCCACGCCGCGGAAACACACCTGGAAAGCGCCTCCAGGAGTTCCAGCCGCCGCCGCCGCCGCCGCCTCCTTTCTCCAGGCGCGCCGGCGCTGGCGAGTTCCCTTCCGGCCGAGCAGTTGGGAAACTCCGCTCGAGTTACCTCGCGGCCAGCGCCTCTCTCCGAAAGCGGAGCAGCCCCGGCTGGGCTGGGCTGGTCACGGCAGCCCCGCCTCTCCGCTACCCGCCAATGGGAGAGGAGAGGCAGCTGGAGGACCCCCGCCGCGTCCCTGCTGGAACTCCGACCCGAGACTCGCTTGCTGCGGGCGCGCCTCCTTCTCCCCTCCGTCCCTTCCCTCCGTCTGGCTCCCCTTCCCTTCTCTTTCGCTTTCCCCGCAAGGGGCCCGTTAGCAATCTTACGCGGGGTCCTGAATATTAAGGATCATTCCTATGATGCTCGATGGCATGGAATGAAAAGGCCGTTGCAATCATAGGGGTGCAACTTCTGTTCCTCCTAGTAGAGCTTGAAGCCAGTCGTGGGAGCCCTTGAGTTCAGATGGTTAGTGCTGGCTCTCAACTCGGGAAAGGAGGAACCGAAGAGGAGGGGCGGCAGCGAGAGAGACGGAATTACAGCAGCCGTGGGGGTACTACGGGAAGACCCAAAGGACCAAGTTGTGGACAGATTGTCCTGGGGAAGGTCTATCTGTGTAGTTACTAGGAGTTGACACTGACTCGATGGTACATAATCAAGCTACATTAAAATACAAATACATTAGACAGATTTGTGACATTGGGGTTTTCTCTCTACTTTTCTCACTCACGCACCTGTACCTTACGCACCCCATGAGACAAGCAGAAATGCAACTAGGGCAACCAGACTAGCTGAAATGTTGATTTATGATCAATGTCGTAAGTATTTGGAAATCTTTCCCCAATCTAATGCAAATGCAAATGCATGAAGAAGGAATAAGATACTCACGGGCCTCACCCACCCTCCTCATCCCAAGGCTAAAATGAACTACTCTTTGTTGCATAGTTCTGGCCACCAACTTGACTTATTTTTACCCCTCCCTGCGGAGCACCCTTGACGCTTGGGCAATAGTGTGTCAGTGGGGACGCCCCCTAAGCATTCCCCTAGGGCAGCGGCTTAATCCACGAGTGCCTCAGCAGGTAGTAAGGAAGATAACCTTGACAGAGATATGCTGGAGCTGTTGCCTAAGCAAAAGGGGGTAAAGTATTTTTTAAGTCCAGAACATTCAGATAATATTTGGAAGCAGCTCAGACAGACACTTCCCTAATTGACATGGATATAGGAAGGGGAGGAGGTACAGCATAATTAGACATGCAAGTTTCTGTTCTTACAGGTAGTCCTCGTTTAGTGACCACAATTGGGACTGGCAGCTCAGCCATTAAGTGAAGCAGTCACTAAGTGAAACTGCGACTTTGTTTATGATCTTACTTCAGCTTTCCTTTGCTTTACAGACCTGCAAAGGTCATAAATGCAAGGCTTGGTCACAAAGTTACTTTTTCAACACTGTCATAACCGTGAACAGTTGCTAAATGTGGCAGTTGCTGAACGAGGACTACCTGTATAGCTAATGTCAATAAAAGTAATTTTAGACTTCCTGTGGAGTTGATTTCCTGGTCTGGTCTTCCTAGTGGGGCTGATACCTACACACTTCTCAGACAGTGGCCTCCAACAGCTGCTGCCCATCTTCATGTCAGGCCACAGGGGTGTCCAGTGGGGGGGGCTGTCAAAAATTCAAGATGGCAGCCACAACCATATGATTGAAGTCCTACCTGCATTGTGCAGAGTCTTGAATCCCATGTTTGCAGCCACCATCTTGAATTGTTTTACCCTCCCCATCCATGTCCATATGAGGGCAGCAACTTGGTGACCTTTTGGGAGACATGGCAAGAGGAGCAGGGCAGGGTCAGCAGTTTCTTCTCCTGTCTCCAGGATGGGAGGAATGCACATTGCTGGGGTCGTGGAGATAAGTCTTCCATCCTATGACTTCATTTGTTCTTTTGAGGTGTCCGCTTCTCATTTTCATATTTTTGTAGAGCTTTTGAGTAGGTCAGGACTACAGATGGGCCAAATTTTAGCTTTCCATCATGCAGCAGGAAGCCTAGATCTCAAGGAATCCTGACAGAAAAAAAGAGTTCACATCTTTAATAAATAAATAAATAAATAAATAAATAAATAAATAAATAAATGTTATTTAGCTTAAGTTTTACAAAATGAAGCATACAGAATTGGGAAAAAAACATTATGCAACAAAAAGACAAGACAATAAGAAGAAAAGGGGGAACTATGTATACATATCAGGAATCCATCATATGAAACAGTTTCTAAACCTACATTGAAGAAAATAAATTATAATTCTCTATTGTTACAAAATGTCATGGTGAAGGAGAACATATTGTGTCTTTTTTTGCTTTGTTTTGTTTTGATTAGTAGATAAATTTGCCTTTTCAAAAAGAGATAAATCGCCCATCTCCGGAATCCAGTTCTTCATAACTGGAATAATAGTCATTTTCCAATTTCTCAAAATAATTTTCTTAGCAACATCCCAGGCCTGATATAATTCCTCAAAAGTAGCCAAATTCCAAAGTTTTGGAATGTAATTTAACATAACATTAACATCTTCAACATTAAAAGATTTCCCCATAAATCTACTTATGAACATTAAACAATTATTCCCAAAAGATGTGAATAATTCAAATCATATGACGGCTCATTTTTTTTTTACTTCTCCAACAACAAACAAATCTGACATACATCCTTTCAAATATATTATGGGGGTGTCCAGTAAACTTGAAACAATATCTTTTGATGGATCAATTTTAATCTTAAATCCGCTGAAACAACTTTGACCTTTGTGAAGACCTGCAGCCATTGATGTTGCATCATTGGGTGTCCCACATCTTTAATCCATGAACCATGAACGTCATTAATATAAACTTTTAAAATGCTATTTAGTTTTTGGGTACAATGATGGTGTGGATTTAGTTTCAGATATCAACTCATCAAAAATGAAAGCACCCCAGGATTCTTAGAAGCAATCAAAGCATCTGGTCCACACTGAGCTTCAAAACATGCTTGAGCTGTTTATATTGCCACTGTCATGAATTGGAAAGGCAAAATTCTATCTGAAGTCTAGAAAAATCCTTAAAATAATCATTGCAGAGCAACTGATTTAAAGTATGCCTTCCAGATTCCACCCAGAATTGCCAATAAAACATTTTGCCCCCTATTTCGAAAGCAGAATTCTTCCACCAAGTTAAAGATGTCTGGGTAAGGTTGGGTTTCCTTCCCTAGACCTGACATTTCATATTTAACACATGACACCAGTTCCGCTGAGAGTTTAATTACCAATCTTTGATGTCTCTCATGCAGAAAGATCATTGTGCTAAAAGGAAATGTGTGTTTATAACACATGTATCTACAGCTTTGCTTTAGAATAAGGAAGTTAAACTGATGTGTATTTATTTTAGAAGAGACTCATTACATTTATTTCTCCAGTCTGAAACTGGAATGTGGTTGTGCCGGTATTGGGAACGGAAAAATTAGGGGTGGAGAAGGGTATTCAAGTTAAAATATTTTCAACCCATAGATAAGAACTGGCTGAGTGACAGCAAGAAAGTAAACTTTCCCCTTTATTGTTTGGAAATATTTTAAATGCTTCCCACGGCAAATGAAAATCTGGTCCACATGTTTGAGAGCATGAAGTGTTACTGGTTACATCCATAAACTGCGCTATTAAAAGGAGCAGAATTCTCTGGTTTGCGTAGCAGATTATATCAGAGCTCATTCTAATATATGATTTTTAAGATGGCAAAAACAGCTCTAACTTCAGGATAGAAGAACAGAGTTTTTGAAGTGCTCGCCTTGCATTAAAAAAAATAACGAAGTAATTTAACAAAAACTGTGGACTCAGGAAATGAGCACAGACAAGATCTGTTTTCTACAGAAGGGGCTTTCTCTACAAGATGCGATCCAGCTGTGCAACCTAGCCATCAATCACATTTGTTACTATAATGAGTCCCCTAGTAGTTATTAAGGGAATAGCTAAGTGGTCTTTGCAATAATTATAAATCTCCAGGCTGGTCTTGTCAGATCACAGGCAAACTGTCTATTAGAGGAAGACAGGAAACAGAAACACTTTTCAATCCTGTCTTCTCCAAACTGGTGTCATTCCAGTTCCCAGAATTCTGAGTCATTAACCAAGCTGGCTAGGAATTCTGGGATTTCTGGAATTCTGGGAAATCCTCTGGGATTTCCAATTCTTACACTTCTGGCAAGAGGTCCATAAGGGTGGCAGCTGTAGAAGCCTTCTCAAAGGTTAAAGGAGCTCAAGATTCTATGATTATATAAAACAACAGTTCTCCCTTTTTCAGAGTATCCTTTTTTTCATTTTTTAAAACATTTTAATCAATCTGAACTTTTTTTGTGGGCTTACAGGAAAACTGGGGAGCCTAATCATGGATTATTTTGAATAGTAAGTACTTCCCTTTTTTAAAGTATGAAATTGTACTTTGAGGAATATTATATTTTTCTAGCTGCAAATGGGGACTTTCCTTTGAACAAGAAGCCATCAGCAAATGTTCACAACATACTTCCATACAGAAGTCCTGTGAAGATTGTCTCCAAGATCAAATCATATGTCCAACTGTGTGTAGAAGACCTTGTTTCTTTGTGCTGTTTGGCAGTTTCTGAGTTGCTAATCTCAAATTTATATTGCAAGAAAAATGCTTCAAAAATACTTGTAAGCTCCAAATTAGCAAGCTGTCTCCTGCTTAATTTGCAGAGAAGCTGAGATCTTGTAAGGGCCTCCTCCTTGAATAAGCCCTTCATGCTTGCCTTAATAGAACAATAATATTGAAGATTTGCTTTAATACTGAAAAATATTGTTTCAATACAGCCTTTTGCCTTCCTCTGTGGGAATGATGGGAGTTGGTTGGACCTATCTGAAGGTTTGCTTGGAAGAACTCAAGTAATACAAAATGAGCCACAAGATAGAGAAAGCTGACATTTCACAATAGGAAAAAATCATCTGTGTTTCTTCATTGGCTCAGACATGTAGAATTGGTTGGAAAGGTACTGACTGGTAACGTTTATAGGCTGAGTATACTATTGCATACCTCAAAGTCTGCAGTTTTT